TGAGTTTTGGAAATTCCTTGTTAGTAATTTCTACTCCTTAATTGTGATTCTAAACATGTTAGTTAATATTGTTTTAAATGACGGGGAGGTGGCTAATATCCAACATCAAATAGCAGTGCTGAGATTTGAACCCTATTTTGACTGGACCCAGAGTCTCAGCCTATTAACTACCACTTAGTACTGTAGTGCTTCCCGAGACTAAACTGTCTCTCTGTGCTAGCTCTGCCACTTACTGTGTGCTTCAGGTAAGTGCTTGAATTTTCCGGTCCTCAGTATTCTCATCTGTGAAACCAAGAATGTGTCATAGGAAATATTTATGATGAGAGCTTACTGAGCACAAGCCATGAGCAAACAACCACAGAAATCATCATTAATTTCTCCAAGTATATTTTCAATGGAAAAAACAAGGAAAATATTTATGCAAATTTTCCACTGGGAAAACAGCATTTTATTTTCTTTTTCTGGAAGAATGCATGACCTTTGACAAAAATCTCAAACTTAAGCAAAAAATTGCTTAATAAGCTAGAGTTTGTCAGACTTAGTGAGAGATGTAATGAAAGATCATTTGCATTTGAATCCCTTTTTTCTTTCTTTTTAATAAAATAATTATCTTCAAATAAGTATCTTCAAATATCCTAGAAAGCTAGGGTTTAATTTTTGAAAAACAGCCTTAGCCTGAGTAAATGGTAAAAAGGAATTGATTGTGAATTTTAATTCATTTAGTATTAGAGGTATACTTTTAATTTAAATGTGTCTCAGTGGAAGGATGTACACTAAACTGTTAAAATTATGTATCTTGATGGGGATGGGAATATAGTTGAAGATAAAAGTAAGAATTATTTTTTTCCTTATGTATTTTTATATTGATTGAATTGTTACAACAAGCACGTACTAATATTTTTGATAGTGAATATTTTAAAGACTGTTACATTTATAATTTTAAATATTTTTTGTTTTGGCCCTTTGTAAAATTATTATGCAACTGAAGTTTGTGCTGTGTGTGTTCTGCCTCTTTATTCAATAAGATTTTATGTCAGTTTCCTCTCTCCTTACTGTAGCATCTATATTATTTTTCTATCAAAGTTTACTGCCAAAAAGAGTATGAGAAATTAATATATCCTTAAATATAGAAAATTTCTAACAATAAACATTTTTGTCTCTCTAAAGGATATTTGCTATTCAGCAAAGATTAAAGTGGCGAGGTCAAACATGAAGAGCCCTTGCTTGAATTCTATTATCTGTTGGCAAGAGGGGCGCAAGTGTTTGAAAGTGAGGAAGACTTTCTGGCCCCTTAAAGTCGTATAATCTAGTTGATGGAAGTGTTCTATTTTGCTATATGCATAAATATCAATCTGGTTACTGGACCATATGGTAGGATAATTGAGTGACTGACAGTGGTGGTTCTGCCATAATATATGTAGACCATATACACCGTCATGAAAACTTTCATTTATTTATTTTGGTTTGAGATAATCTTGCTTTGTCACCTAGGCTGGAGTACAGTGGCATGATCTCAGCTCACTGCAGACATGACCTCCCAGGCTCGGGTGATCCTCCTACTTCAGCCTCCTGAGTAACTGGGACTACAGGTGTGCACCATCACACCTGGCTATTTTGTTATTTTTTGGGTGGGGGTAGAGACAGGGTTTTGCTATATTGCCCAGGCAAACTCCTGGGGTCAAGTGATCCTCCTGCCTTAGCTTCCCAAAGTTCTGGGATTACCAGCACGAGCCACTGCTCTGGCCGTAGCTTTTTCTTTTCTTTTTTCTTTCTTTTTTGTTTTTTAAGTGAAACTAGAAGCCATTGCAAGGTTTTAAGCAGATGAGAAATAAAATAACTGCTTTACTTTAAAAATGATTACTCTGGCTGTGGGTTGAGACTAGGCTGCAGAGACTAAGGATTGGAAATAGATGACTAAGAGACTGCTGCAGGGGTGTGGTTGAGAACTTGCCTTGAGTGAAGGCAGTGGTGGTAATAAGGATTGCTCGGATATATTTAAAAGTGGATATATCCACTGGATATATTTAAAAGTGGAGCCAACTGGTATTTGACAACAATTCTTGACAAGGTCCTGGTGAAACATTTAGCTAGAAGGGACTAAAAGAAACATTGGTTCTAGTCTTCATTGTCTTCTCTTTCTTCTCCTGGTTCTGAGAAAGCCTCCAGTTCTTTTCAATTTGCATTTGATTTAGGACAAATGAATAACTTTCTCTTATCAATATTAATAGGCTAACTAAAGAAAGTTTATTAGTCTCTTTCACTGCTGAAAATTCAAATTTTAAGGATAGAATCTTCATAACCTATCTTAATAAAGTATGATGACTTATGTTCTGTTTAGTATTTATACATCTGTATGGTACTAGAATTTGAGATGCAGCTCTCAAATATCTGTACTGCAAACAAATGTCTGCTGCAGAGCTCTGGAAATTTTAAGAATGTCTGTTTTTTAATCACTGCAGTGCATTAGTATTTTTTCTTTTTTAATCACTGCATGTATATGTAGACAGGAGAAACCTAAATGGGAAAAGAAAAAAACTGTTGCCCAAGCTGCTGTGAGAAATCTGCCACTGATACATAATTATTTACTTATACTATCCATAAGGAAAACATTATCTGTTTCTTATCCATTTAATTAAGAAGAAAGACTACAGAAGATATTTGTTTATTTCTCCTTTAAAAACATTTTCTATCTGGCCATGGCTATAAGACAAAGGTTTTAAAAAAATTTCCAGAACATTATTGTACTTTCTCTTTAATGCCCCAGTGGCTTGAGAACATTTTGTGATATTTTCTCAGTTCAGTCAAAGAAATCAATGGAAACCAAGCTGAATGGCTGTAAAATGTTCTGGAACAACTGTTAAATAAAAGGGAGCAAGAGAAGAGAGCTGGGGATGCTTTATATTGCAAACCTCTTTAAAACAGAACATGGATAAAGTCTTTTTCAAGGACTAGTATAAAGCTATTCCTTTTAACAAACTATTTGAGTCCTCAAATGATCTTTCCTTCCTTTTCTTCTCTGGCTGATTAGCATTCACACTAATCACAGTGAAGTAAACCTTTAATAAAGTAAGATTTTTTACTTTGCTGCATCAGACAAGAGCCCTTAATGAATGAATAGAATAGAACAAATAATGTAATTGGTTCAATAGGACCTGAACACCATTTCTCCAACTTTCTAGGGACAGGATGAAATCAGCTTACTATACCTATCAAGAAAAATGGCAACGCATATATTTTTCTTTCTTGCTGTATCTTCTCTTTCCCTGTTTCTCTGCTTATCCCCTCACTTACATGTGCAGCATATACACAATGGCAATTCCTGCATTTAGTGTGAAGTGGTCTTTCAAAACATGATACAATACTCTATCAAGTATAACCTGACAGAGAATATACTGAGGTAAAGGAAATTGACAACACTGACCACTTAAATCTGGTAGATTATAAACATCCTCAGACCTCTGTTTCTTTAAAGAAGAAAAGTAAAAGACTTTCCTATAACATGCTGAGTATAAGTAGTTTAAAGAAGTATTAGAATCACTTTCCTTTCCTTCCTCCACAGCTCCAAGCAGGAAACCATTTTATGACTATTTCCTCGCCAGCATGATGTAAGTAGGGTGACCATATGTTATGCTGCATGATGCTTGTGCTTGCATAATTATTAAAACTGTCAATGTGTCCCAGTTTAGATAATAAGTTATATGATGACTTTGCCATAAGAGATTCTGATCTCAAGAGAAGTGGCACTTTGACTCAAGAAATGGGCTTAATGTCATTTTAGAGGTTATCAGAGAGGCACATATGTGGAATGATAGTCATGTACAGGAGCACATTTAGACGAGCTCAACAATCCAGGTAGTCAAATTTTCTGTAGTTCCATGCCATAGAAAGTCATCTTTTCAGATATAGTTTTTTTGTTGGTGTTTTTTGTTTTCCATTTCTTATCTTTCTAAAACCAAGCAAGAAGTGTGGCCACCAGTAAATGCTTGTTTTTTTGGGTGGGTGTTGGTAATTCAATCATGATTGGAAATATGTAGGTCTCAAATTTCAGACATTGGAAAGCTTTAGATATTTGAGTTTTTGTTGAGAGGGAACTATTGATTGTTTGTGTTCTTGTATGTGTGTGTTTTCCTTCTGCTTGAGGAGTTTAGCTCAAGTAAACCTCTAGTAATGATTATGGCGTATAGCTCCATCCATGACACAAAAATGATTATCAGATTTACCTTCCCTCCATTAACAGATATAAAAATCAACAAAATATTTGAAGCACTCTTTTTCAGACATTGGAAAACAGATATCACAAGTCTGTGGTCCTTGAGAGAAGGAAAACAAATAAAACAAGCCTCACATTCACCCTGGCCTTCTGTCTTGGAGCACTTTACAAATGATATATAAAAGATGATCCTAGACAATAAACAGTTATCTTACTGGACAAAGGAAATAGATTTCAAATTTGAGGGATGTTGAAACTTGCAGGTTAGAGTATTAGAATGCAGGATGCTGTACAGAGAAGGAATATTAGATATCTGAATATGGACTTCTCTGAGTCTGTGGCTTACTGTGCAATGTGTAGGCGAGACTCTGCCAGTCTGGCAGAAAATAGTTACTGAAGACTCTTAGCTGAATGGATGTAAACATAGGGCTGGGGGATGTTGGGATTCCTAACATTCAGAGTGGAGTGACCTCACTGAGGATATCAGACACTTAGTTGAGATGCCATAGGAGTGAGCTACATTAGCCTTAAAGTAAGGGTTATACTAGTCCTGCCCTAACAAAACTTTTGGCAAAGACCTTGGAAAGATAAAACTGATCCACTTATTAATTAACTGCCTTCTAGAACAAAATTCAATTACCTTTAAGAGAAAAGAACAAGATCCAAACTCTCAACAATATTGTATTTGCAATGCCAAACAAACAATAAACATCATTAGATAATGAAAACACAGGAAAATATAACTATAACTAGGAGAAAAAACAGTCAACAAAACAGACCCAGGGATGACATAGATAACTGAAGTATCAGACAAAGTCTTGAAAAAAACTATATTATAATAATGTCAGATGATTTAAAAGAAAAGAGCTTAATGGGTCAACAAAAGAAAAATCTCACAAGAGAAATTACTTAAAAATGAAAACACCACTTCTAAAAAATTATCTAAAAGGAAAAATTCACCACTGGTAGGCTTAATAGCAAATTGGAGACTATTAAAAAAAGATAACTTTATGACAGATCACTAGAAATAGTTTAGACTGAAGCACAAAGAGAAAAACAAACTTTAAAAAATGGACTCAGCCTCAGCTACTTATGGGACAATATCAAGCAACAAAACACTGTGTAGTTAGAGTCTCAGAAAAAGAGGATGCAGGGATTTGGTAATAAAAATATTTGAAGAAATAATGACCATAATTTTCCAAATTTGATGACAAATATCAACCAACAGATCTAATAGTATCTACAAACCTCAGGTAGAATAAGCATAAATAAAAACATGAAAGCACACCATAGTCAGTTGCTGAAAGCCAAAATTAAAAAAACTTTATCCAGGGGAGAAAAAATACATTATAAAAATGAGAACAATGTTGAAAGTTATTGCTGATTTTTTTCTGAGAAACAATGCAAGCCAGAGAATAATAAATGTTATCTTCAAAGTACTGAAAGAACTATCCTTTAGAAATTTAGGTGACATTTAAAAACAACATTTAAACACATTTAAAAACAACAAAATCCCAGATAATTTATCATCAGCAGAAATACTAAAAGTAGTTGTTCAGGCCTAAGAGAAATAATATCAGATGGAAACTCGGATCCACATGAAAATGTATAAAATGTCATAAAAGGTAAATATTTGGGTAGATATAAACTCCTTTTTTTTCTCATTTCTTCTTTAAAAGATAACTGACTAAAGTAAAAATATTAACAATTAATTTGGGATTTATAGCATGGTTGTGCTAAAATATATGACAATAATAGCACAAAGAACACAAATCACTTATGTGAATTTGTGTAATTTGAACAAAACTACCAACTATCTTAATCAGATTGACATTTATAGAACAATTCATCTGACAACTTCACAGTAAGAATTCTTTGCAAGAGGACACAGAATATTTACCAAGACAGATCAGATCATATGATGAGACATAAAATGATTAAATTCAAAAGATTGAAATCTTACTGACGACAACAGAATTACGTTAGAAATCAATAACTATGTGACATTTAGAAAATTTTGAAGTATCTGACAAACAGCGTACTTGTATATTGGTAAAAAACAAAAAACATGAGAAATTTTAAGATATTTCTAATTGAATCATAAAACCAAACAAAAAAATTGTGGGATGCAGGTAAACCAGCAATTAAAGTGAAACTGATTAATTTAAATTCATACCTTAGAAAATAAAAAATAGACTAAATATATAAGTATGTAAATACATAAAAACATATGTGTACATGTATATTGGTCAGGGTTCTCTAGAGAGACAGAATGAATCTATCTATGTTTGTATCTGTGTATATATGTTTCTTTCCATCCATCTGTATCTATGTATCTATATGTATGTATGTATGTATGTATCTATCTATCTATCTATCTATCTATTTATCTATCTATCTAATCATCTATCTAAGAGGGGATTTATTAGGAGAATTGGCTCATGCAATTATGGAGGTGAAGAAGTCCCATGATATACCATCTGCAAGCTGGAGAACCAGGGAAGCCAGTGGTGTGGCTCAGTGCAAGTCCTAAAGCTCTTGAATCAGGGAAATGGATGTTGTAACTCATTCTGAGAACGCAGGCCTGAGAATCTGAAGGGCCGCCAGTGCAAGCCCTGGAGTCAAACCTGAAGTTCTGATATTTATAAGCAGGAGAAGAAATGTGTGCCAGCTCCCGGAAAGAGAGAGTGAATCCACCATTTCTCTGTCTTTTTGCTTTATGTGAGCTCTCAGACAATTGAATAGTGCCTGCCCACATTGTCCTCTGAGTCGAATGCAAATTTCTTCTGGAAACATACTCACAGAGATGTCCACAAATAATGCTCTATCAGCTATAATCCCTTAATCTAGTCAAGGTGATACTTAAACATAACCATCATAGTATGTGTGTGTGTGTGTAAAATGAATATACATATATAAAAGTATATATGCATATATAAATTAGGCTGGGCACAGTGGCTCATGCCTATAATTCCAGAACTTTGGGAGGCCGAGGCAGTTGGATCACCTGAGGTCAGGGGTTCGAACCCAACCTGGCCAACTATGTGAAACCCCATCTCTACTAAAAATACAAAAATTAGCAGGGTGTGGTGGTGGATTCCTGTAGTCCCAGCTACTTGGGAGGCTGAGGCAGGAGAATTGCTTGAACCTGGGAGGTGGAGGTTGCAGTGAGCCGAGATCGCGCCACTGCACTCCAACCTGGGTGATGAGCATAACTCCATCTCAAAAAAAACTTAAAAAAAAAATCTATCTATCTATCTATCTATCTATACACACATATATATAAATAGGTATAGATACATATATAAGTAGAAATATATATATATGCAAATATATATAAAAATAAAAAGAAATTAATGCTCACAAAAGAATGTTCTGCCTTCTCACCAAGGATAGCAGAAGGAAAGGGCACTTCCTACATCCTGAGGGGTGGGAAGAGATTGGTGGGGGAATTCTCCACAGTTCCAAGCAGAAAGTCACTGGTTCAACATGAAATACATTAAATTCATGAGATATCTTGGTCTTTGATCACTCTAGGTTGGAAGGAATGGTGGCACTGAGTTGAGGTGTTTTGGATGAGTTGTGAGATAATGCAGAGTTCATTTCCTCTCTGATTTATAGCTCACTGTGGAAATGTTGTCCAGAACAAATTTGGAAGTCAAATGGTAGACTGAGCATTGGTTTATACCCAGCACCATCTCAGCTATCCTGAGTTAAGGTATTTGTGTCAAATCATTAGCCTTTCTAGACAGAATAATATACATTGCATCAGATGATACTTGTCAAGAATATTGATATGTAGGAATGAAAAGTGGTGATGACCACATGGGTCATTATTTTATGAAAGCACACATTCTCTCTCTTACAGAAACTGGTCTCTAAAAGTAACTGATTCATATTGTTTACCCACATAAAATTTTCTGTTTTGTTGATAATTCCGGGTGTAGTGTGTAAGTAACTATGTAGCTATTAAAACACTCACTATACCCTGGATCTTCACTTTTTTTTTTTTTTTTTGAATTAAGAGTTTGCCCTCCCTTGTAGAGAAGACCCGCTTTTAATAAATAGTGCTTTAATCAGCCTTGAAACTCAGAATGAAGATGGGACCCTCTAGGGGGATTTTATTTAAAGAGAACGCTTAAAGTCCACAATCAATGTGTTTCTATTTTTAGCCTCTTTCTAGTAAAAAACCACCAAGACTCTCTCAGGATAATAAAATCTCGTTAATGTATAATTTAATCAAGCACTGAACATGAAAGTGTCCTAATTGCTCTTCCCATAGAGCAATTTCTGGACTCTCTTCCTTTAGCCATTACCTTGGCCTGGCATGCCCACTGCCACTTTTAGGGCCCAGTAATGACTGTTGTCTCCCTTCAAAGCCTGCCTCTGTTGGAGT